TTGTTAATGAGCCCCACGTCCCTGATTGCTGCTGCAAAATAATAATAATTAGTAATAGGCCCGTGATTTAGGAATCCCTCAAACAGCATGAGCCTGCCGAGGGGAGTTCACTAAGTGCTGAAGCACTTGAAAGAAATGAGGGGAGGGGGAGGAAAAAAAGGATGGGAGGCTTGGCAAAAGTGCTGTGTTTTACATCTTAATAAGTGTCTGGAGAGCTGAGGGATGGTGGGGTCTTGCCTGCATCCCAGCAGTAACCCTGGGGCTAGTGGCAATGCTGACCTGGATGGATGGAGGAGCTTGGCCAGGCAGTATCTTGCTGCAGGGCTCAGAGGACATGGATATTTCCCCAGGTGGGCTGCAGGGGGAAAAGCCAGATGACTTAGCTCAGTGTTGCTGGGTCCCCGGTGGAGATGGTGGTTCTTCGGGATCGGCTGCTTTCATGGATGTCGTGGTTTAGAACACTGGTGTTTGACTGGGGATAAACGAGCAGGCGTTTCTCTGTGGTTCTCATATCACTTGGTAAACTGAAGGTGGAGATGCCACCAGCAGAGCATGCTCCTGGGATGAGCATCACAGGGAGTGTGCTGTAGATCCAGTCTCACTTACGTGACGGAAAGGTGTTCATGGGATCAGAGCTGCTTCCCACAACAAAGCTGGCCTGCCCAAGGCAGCAAGGGGCGCATCTCCTCAACTGGACCTTGTGTGGAGGGTAGAGCTCTCCAGGACACTACTAGCTTGGTGAAGAGAGTAGACGTGCTGGTTAGTGAGGTTTATGGTTGCTACAGAGACATGCTGGCCTTCCAGTTGATATCTCCAGTACAAGAGAAACCAGATCTGCACCCTTCCCATACCACATCTCTCAGCTGAGGGCCTTGTGCAAGATGAGAAATTGAGAAGTGATCTCCACCTCGGTGACCTGTGTTGGGCCAGCACAGGGATGAGTTCCCAAGGTCTGTCATGCCATGCAGATAGATTCAGACTGGGGCATATTTTGGGTTTTCTTGCTGTCTTGCCTGGCCTGACCAGAAGAGGGTTACAGCCAGGTTGAACACTTGCCCTTAGCCCAGCTTGCACACATCTCTGTCACGCTTGTGACTCGTGTGGCCAGCACCCTTCACCTGACATGCACATTCGTGGAGGTGATGCTGGGGACAGAGTCCCAATGAGCGGGCAGTTGGCCGAGCCTGTGTGCTAAGCTCTGCCCATCTTTCTGTTCCTCAGCTGCAGTGTGGCCTCTCCTGCTTGGCTGTCCCCATTCAGCTAAGCCATGTGCCCATCTCCTCATTACAGGCACTCCAGGGAGAGGTGGGATTAAAGGATTATGGTAATGTTCTTCAGGAACACTCAAGAAGATTAAGATGGCTTTAATAAACTGATAAGAGAGGGACACAGCTATGTTTCTGAAACCCTAATTTAGGTTCCAGGTTAACCTTTTCCCCTGGTCTTCCGTCACCATGGTGAAAAGATCTTTTACTTCAGCAGTGCTCTATGGCTGTGCCTGTTCCTTCAGTTTTCCTTTTGAGCAATCTGAGCAGAAGCAGAAAGACATCTTCCTTCCTTCTCTGGTAGCCTTCCCAGGTATTAAGAGCTTCCCAGGTATTAGAGCTTCCCAGGTGTTAGAGCTGGTTCTTCTCAGAGACTCTCTCACACACAGCCTGCAAGGTACTGTGAAGGTCTTGTAGGCTCTGCTGGTACCTGGGGTACCTGTTAGCTGGGGATGAACCAACCACCCCTCAGTCTGGCTTCAAAATGTCCTGTGGTTGGTGACAGAGAAGTGGCTCATCTGCCTTTGACCTGGCTGGACATACTCTTAGAGAAGTGTCTTGAGTATAGTGCCAAGGTTTACAGCTTCCTACAACTGCACTCAGTTAGTCATCTCCATCCCCGGTAAGGGCTCCCAGAAAGAGGGGCAGAATGGACCAACCTTGCTCTGCCTTCGCCGGTGGCTGTCGGGTGGAGCTGGGAGTGGGACCTGGCTGATATGTCTGCCACGAGGTCCACCTGGGCATGCTGGAGCAGTCGTTTATCCGGTTCTGCAGGAGGACGGCTACTAGCTACGCTGGGAGCCTCCTCATCTGTCTTCTCCAGTCTCTTCCACCCAAGCTCCCAGTCATCTGCCAGAACTTCATGCATGGAAGGCTTCTTCTGAATGAGTTTCTCTCAGAGTGCTTAGGCAATCAAAGATCTGTTGTCTTTCCCAGACCTCTCTATTTGTGTTTGAGACCCCCAAAGTTTACTTCTTACTCATTATCTGGAGAGCAGATACCATGTTATCTCTGGAGGTAGTGACCCCCCATGTCAGATCACTCCTTCCTCCCACTTCAGTCTTTCACTCTCATCCCTCTGCCACAGTATTATCCCCGTCTTTTTTGTCTGTTGACTCTCTCCATTCCCTTTTTATTTCTTGAATGTAATTGGAAGAGCCAAGAAGAATTCGCAGCCTGGTGTCCTGATGGGGAAGGGAGGCAGAAAGTGATTTGGGGAGCGGGGTGTGAAAGGAAGACGAAGGGGAAAAGCTGGCTAATTTGCATCCTTTCTGAGTGCCCTGGCTCTATAGCCAGGGTACAGCAGGGGGTCTTCTGGCAAGGCGGTAGCGACGTAATGAGGTGTGTCATATCCCAGCAGGAGCCAGCCTCGCTCCCCCTCAGACCCCCTAATTAGACCTGTTTCAATTTTTAAGCCCCCCTGGAGGAGTGCTGGGGGGAGGCAGGGGGGAGCAGTGTTCCTGCGGTGGGGGGACCACCAGCCGCCCACCGAGGGGGCAGCTCTAATTGGAGTTGCTGTGAGGAGCCGCAGAGTGATACAAGCTCGCCGTGGGGCCAGGGACAGCGATGCCGTAGTGCCACAGGGCTGCCAAAATGCTTTGTGCCAGGAGGGGCCATCACTATTGCAGCTTTTAGGGGATACTCCCCTCCCCCCCCCCAATTTAAATTAAGGCATTGGCAGAGGCAGCAGGGGTGTGATACAGGGGCGGGGGAGAATTGCACATCCTATTGTGGCCTTGTATTGGGAGCTTGGATCCGGAGGCTGAAGCCTGGGACATTTACCCCCTGATTTGGGAGGCAGGTCTGGTAGCCCAGGCAAGTTGGGGCTGTTAATGCCGGAGTCATGAACCAGAGCAAATGCTGGAACCCCCATCCTCATATTCTCTGGCTTTCCATGCTTTTCCTGCAAGCTGGCTGCGTTCTCAAGGTTTGGTGACTGGTAGCAGAGGTCCCTGTCATTTCACCCAGTAGCATGTCCTACCCAAGCACCCCTTTGGTGTCCTGAGTTGCCATTGCAGTAGGTGCCTGCACTGCAGGTGCTTGAGGTGTAGGAGCTTCCAAGAGCTGCTGGCTTACTCAGATCAGGGTGACTCGTAAGCCTCCTCTAGTCCATGGACCAAATCCTGGCCCTGCAGAAGTCAATGAAAACCTTTACGCTGCCTTTTCAGGCATGGTATTCATAGTCCTCCTAATTTAGATGCATTAAAGCTTCCATGGAACAGCTTGTGGGTTCTCTCTAAAACACCGTCTGGCAGGAACAAGAGGAGCCTGGTAATAGCCCAGGCTTATTTTCTGAATGACTGCAGCGGCATTAAAACCTAATGCCATTAAAACATGCCTGCAATGACGTGTACCATTAAAACCTAAGACGACACCCTGAGCTGGATGCCCCCCAGCCTGCCTATTGCTCTTGCGGACCCCATGGGCTGGGGATGGAGGAAGCGTGTTCTTCTGGTTGCACTTCAGAGAGCACCAGGCTCTACCCTCCTTAGCTCCTAAGATGGAGCCCAGATGTGTACCCCTGTATGCAAACACGCTTTCAAAGTCTGTGCAACTTAGATGCTAGAAAGCAGTAGCCGCTTTGGGGGCATCGCAGTCCAAGTACAGCTTCCCAGGGCCTCTGCTGTAATGCCTGGCCTGTTTCTTGAAGCCAGGACTGAAGGTCAGCTCGACTTCTGGGCTTCCAAGAGAGGTCATCTCTTGACTTGCCAGGAGGCAAGCTGGCATAATACCCATGAGCAGGCTCTGATAAAAAGGCAGGTGAAATCCAGTGTGAAGTGATGGGCACGGGTGAGCAAACCTGATTTGGTGGTGTGTCTGATGGGTCCCAAACTGGCTGTTACTGTGCAGCCGCAAAACTTCAGAGCTGAGCTAAGCTGCTTCTGTGAAACCATTAGCTCTGTGCTCGGCAGAGGTCAGGAAAAGCAAATTGATTGTGAAGAGCTGTTGCGCTGGGAACAGGGAAAGGAGGAGACATCTTGCCCTGTGCACATCCCTGGTGTGCCTGCCTCTCAAACATGGCACGTCAGGACTGGCCAGCGTGGCAAAAGGCATCTGTGCAACAGGCAGCTCTGTAGATGCTCTGACCTGAAAGGCTCCTAAACGAGGTCTAAATGCAGTGCGAACTGTGGGGAAGGTGATTAGGGAACAGACATGCGTGGCCTCCTCCAGCTCAAGTAGTAAGGGTCACCCAGAGGTGCCATTGGTTAGCAGATTTGGAGCAAAACAGGGGAAGAACTTCTTCAGCATAGCTGGCAAACCATTCTGCTCCCTGCCACCGGCCACTGTGCCTGTTAAAAGCTGACATGGCTTCAAAGAGCAATTAGGCAAATTAATGGAAGAAAGCTCCGATGACGGCTATTAAATACAAAGAGAAAACCTCTTGGCTTGGGCAGCTCTGGAGCCACAGATGCCCGCGGGCTGGGAGAACGTACCTAGAAAATGTGGCTTGTTGCACTCTTATGCTCTTCTGAAGGCTAAGCCCTTGGGTGCTTGGCCCAAGATGAGTGTCGCGTCTTGCCCAGCTGACCGGTCATCTTCTCCTTTCCTATCTTTCCAGGTTCAGCACAATGAGTTGGCATCCTGGGTGTTAGCAGCGTGAGGAGACCAGGACGGGTGCTGCCCTGCTCACCCCTTACCCCCTCGCTCGTTCCCCTTGGGGAGACGGGTGCTGGTGTCCCTGCCCTGCCCTTCTGCCCCTTGCCCCCCACTCTCCATAGAGGGGACGGGCCCGGTATGGCTGGAGATAGGCTTCCACGCAAGGTGATGGACCCGAAGAAGCTGGCCAGCCTCCTGAGGAACGGAGCAGAGGGCACCCTGGTCATTGACAGCCGCTCCTTCGTGGAGTACAACTCCTGGCACGTCCTCAGCTCTGTCAACATCTGCTGCTCCAAGCTCGTCAAGAGGAGGCTCCAGCAGGACAAGGTCTCCATCACGGAGCTCATCCAGCCCGCCTCCAAGATGAAGGTAGGGGATCTGGCCCTCACCTTTCTTGGTGGACACTCACACCCTCTTCCCCAGTAGAAAGAAGCAGGGTAGGGGTGGGATGCAGACTGGCCTAAGGGCCGGTCTATGCCTGGTATGTGCATCCTCCTCTTCCATCCCTTGACCCCAGTATCTCCTGGCATCTCTCTGGCACCCTTCGGAGAGCTGGAGCCCTTTGGAGAGCTGGAGCGTGAGCTCGTGCAGCCAGAGGGCTGTCCTCGGGGACCTGTTTGTTGCCTCCGCCGGAGTGATGTGGTTTCCCGCTCCAGGAGCCCTCCCCAGGCAAGTCTAACAGGTATATCAGCCTTTGGACTTGTCCTATGCCAGCAAACAACCCCCCCAAAGCCTTCCTGGAGCTGTAAGCTTAATCCCCTGCTAAAAACTCTTCCCCTCCCCTCTGTCATCTCTAACTCCATTCAGGGACATGTAATCCTCCTCCCCTGTGACGCCAGAAGCTCTTATCCGGTGTCATGGCATATTATCTCTCCCAGGCTCCTCTCTCTATCGCTCCCGGTTAAATAATAGAGGTGGCTCTGAGCCACGGAGCTGGGCTGGAGCCCCGGCCAGAGAAGCGCCGAGTGTCCCCTTGGTGCCATCGGCCGGGTCGCTGTCGGGGTGGGGGGG